CTCCTCTTCTCCAATTTATTTACCATCCCTCCAACAAGTATGAAATTTAACGTATATTACTTATTATAATATTGTCATCGCTCAGGTAAAGTATAATTTTCATAGCCTTCAATTTTGTTTGGTTACAGAGCCATCATATAGAAAATCAGACTCTTCTTGCCACACCCACCTGTCACATCTTCTCTTTCAGGATTTGTCTATAGTTTTCTCTTACGTTTAATAGTATATTATTTTCAACCAATAAAAAGGCAAGGTTTTCATCTATAAAATAACTTATTATAATACATTGTTTTCTCTGTACAAAACTGTTAATTATTCCCTTCTTTCAACACAAGCTTCGTTCCCACAGGTAACACATCGACTAGCTTGGATGAATTTGTAACGGCTCTTGTCGCGCATAGTTAGAAAGCCAGAAAAATTTTAAAAGTTATGGGACATTGTCTACTTTTTAGATGTTATTATTCTATGATCTTTGATGCATTATTGAATTAAATAAAACTTATTTAATGCACTACTACCATTAGTATAAAAAGTAGGGTTAAATGTCATTGACAGTCGATAGCATAAAAACAAGGGGGACAGGTAAGTAATTTCTTTCTTTTTTTCATATGTATTCTTCATTTATTATAATAAAGTAACTAAAATGTAAAAATAAGAAACTCTTTAGGTTAGATTAGGTAAAATAAATAATAATAAAAATGTAAAAAAAAACTGCACGAAGCACGCTCGTTGGTAGTGTAATTGGATAGCGTAATTGTGAGCGCACGTTCCCAAGTGATTTACATTTACAACTTATAATGACGCGAATAGTACTACTACTAGTAGTAGTAATTACACATGGTTAAAAGTGGCAATAAAACAATAACATTTAAGTGTAAATAGATTTATACTGTTATGAGATTAAAGCTACTTAGGATAAATGTAGTTTCATTTTACAGTTTGAAGTCATCCTAGAAAAAAAAAAGGATAATTTAGATTTTTTTTTTACTTTTGATGGCTACGAGGTCTGTCAAATTGACCAACTTTGTATAGAGTTAGGGCAGAGAAAATAAAATCAAATCTAAAGGTTTACTTAAATAAAACGTTTGAAATATATTTAGGAGGTTTTAGAGATTACAAATGATATTTGAGATTTTTGAGATGAAGAAAGTATTTTTAATTTTAACATTGAAATCATTTTGCGACTGGTCAAAAAAAGACTCGACATATTCACGGCCAAATCTTTAGTAAAAACACTCCATTGAAAAACTTATTCTTTGTGTACAAACGACTTGTAATTTTTACTAAAAGTCTGCCAAATTTTGTAGAGATACACATACGTTATTGAAAGTTTTAGTATTAAAACTATATACAAGTAAAAGTGGTCACATGTAAGGTACTTGGGACAGAGCACGTATTAAGAGTTCGTAACTGGCTCAGTGCTAAATGTGTAGTGCATGTACTGTACGTAGGTAGTATAGTGATTCTAGTGTAGTCAAGTTGGCTTGGCTGTGTGGGCATTCCAAATGTCATGAACAGACTACTACAAAGTGTATGTGTATTCAATATGCGCATGACAAAATTTGAAAATACTGTAGGCGCCGTTTAGCAGAAATTTCCGAGAAATGAACATCAGTTTTGGCTTTGGTATATCAAACTGAAACGTCACGGCACTTTTACCGTGTTGTGGGAAGTCTCGAAGACAACATATAAGAGAAAGGAATGATTCGCACGTTATACTATGCAAACAGGAAAGTGATTCGCAACTGAGATTGTTTTGATTCGCAAATTGCGATGCGAACCCAGATATTTTGTCCCCTGGATTGCGAGTCGAGAGCCTTAACCACCAGGCCATGACAGGCCGTTAAAAGTAATGAAGTAACAGATTTTTCACTTGTATGATTTTGGGCTTGAACTGCCCTATTGAAAATTACTGGATTCGGCATTTCTCTATTTGTTTTTTGTCGCGTTTTAACTATCGGTATGAAATAACTTTACACTAAAAGAATATAATACTTCGAAGTAAACGGTTTCCACAAAATATTATATTTCTAATGAATTGTTAGTTTTTTAGAATTTTCGCTCAAAGCTACATATGGGCTAGCTGCATATAATGTTATCTAATTATGAATTGAGAGACTAGAGAAAAGCCAGTCAGTAAATAGCACCCACCGCCAACTCTTGGGCTATTCTTGTCTGACCGAGTATAGTGGGATTTGACCGTCACTTCTCTAGCGCTCCATCGGCCCCAGGGTCCAAAACACGTTTTTAAGTCAATGGGACACGAATTTAAAATACTTCGTTTCAAACCCTACGTTGAGTATAAGAAATATAGGAGGAGCAGCCTTACCTTCTGCTAATAGGGCTCCAGTCGAGCTATCACTGGCCCTGTTCAGGTTCACAGTCGGGGCACACTAACCACTGGACCACGCCTGGCTCATTTTCAAATACCCATGAAAAGCTGGATTCATGAATACGCAGGGGAGTATAACTAACTGTGAATAGGCATAGGTAACAACCCGATAGTTTGTGTGTGTATGTATATATATTGGACAACAACAACAAAATTTTCTCTGCTAATAGAAAAAATGCAATTGTTTCTAAGTAATTTGACTATGCTGATTCTAAAAATCATGTTAAAAATTACTGATTACCTCTAGTTTTTTAGTTGATAGATTTATTAAAAATATTCTTATATATCGTGAAAACAACTTTTCTTTAATAACTTTATTTATTTATGGAAAACTGCATTTAAGAATGTTCAAAAACAAAAGATAATAGTAGTACCAGTTTAAAAAAGCAATGAGTATAATATGATTATATACTGAAAATACATTCAGACTATGTTCAAAACTTTCATCATGGTATTATTATTATTTTTTACAAAATAACTAGTTGACTTGTGCTTTTTGTGTATGTTCTCAGTTTCAAGCTGTAAAACCAATAGTAATCTCCCATCATCGCAGGATTCCGTCATTCTTGATATCACTACTCCATTGTAGAAATATGTTGGCGGAAGAGCTCACCATGCTTATCACTCA